TATCAGGCGATCAATAAGCAAATGTTTACACGGAAGATACCACCGACAAGAAAAGGACAAATGTGAATCACGAAAAGAGAGGGACAACACTAAATCTTACAAACTTCAAGCCATTGTAGCTTCTTCAGCTCATCTGATAGTGGAAATTTTTAAAGTCAAAAACTCATAATAATACCAACATCGCCATAAAGAAATTCGTTTTGGCTACAAAGTATGAGCGAAAAGTTCATTTCAAGTTAAATCCTTACCTATGCGCAGACATACCATAGCTATAATATCAGACACAGCAAAACGAAACAAAAATTTTACTAAACAACGCAAAAACAAAATTAAACGACTCTTCGATTTCGCAAACTGCATTTAGATGATCAGACAAACATTTAGTTTATATTATTTGCGGGGGTCAACATGCACCCCAGAATCCGTATACAAATTGCCGCTGCTGGAGTACAGACAAGTACTGTAAATGTATAAACGTAACGAAACGCAATAACAGAACATAAAATTTTCAAAACAATAACTTACCGAAAGAACCGTACACTGGCACAAATCTAAAACAATTTTCTAAGACACTTCGCTCCAGTAATAAGCGAAGAACAGGTGTGAAAAAAGCAGCGACAATCTGATATCGAGTACAAGCGTGTTTACAATCTCCAAAAATCGAGTTTTCAGAAAAGGTTAATCATTCTTCAGGCATAAAGTCTGAGTTTCATAACTGACCGTATTGGGTTGGTTTCGAATAAGATACGTACACCTGACACGAAAATATTGACCACCATACACGACATGAATACACGCAGCAACAGCAATGGCATACGGCAACGAAACCTACAGAGAAAAATTTCAATAAAACAACCTTACCCATGAAACTCAGATGCCGGCTGTCCGTGTGAGAGAAGTTCCAGAAGGATACACAATGAAGGCTAACTAATTAATATCAGGTCAGAAAACTAATTAAAAATCATATACGTCTCTGATTAACTCATGCTGAGCAGCAATTCTTCGGTGACTTCTATTCCAGTAATTACACTAGCTAACTTCAAAAAATGCAGACTAGCTACAAAAGCTTCTTTTTTATTACCGTCATACGGACAGCTCAATAGCATGCGAATAAGTGCTGTTGCAAACGTTTGTCATAAATCATATATAATGAATAAATAAACGGACTGCTGACATTTATGAACAACGAATATATAAACCAGTTTAATTTATAAATCGCAAAACACTAAAATTTACCTGGTTTCTAGTACTGCTGTGCATACTGGTAGATGTTACTAGACTGCTGCCCATATCCGTAGTGTGGCTGAGTTTGGGAGTAGGAGTAATTCTGAAACAGTGAACATGAAGATAAGACGCACAGGCCAAATAAAGAAGTTTAACGCACATTAAAGCATAGCATATTTTTCATTACTATGGTCATCTGATGAGATAAAAAATTTAGAGAATTATCCTCCCAAAATAATCTTGATTAAACTAGTTCTGGTAAATGTTTTAGCGACAAGAAGGCTAATCAAAATATGCAAACCAGTCAAGGCAATTTTGGCAAACAACATCTTACACTGGTTAATAACAGCGCTAATAGTAAGAACCATGACGGTAGAAGAAACCCCAATATTAGAACCTTGGCGTTACGTAACAGACAGTCAAAGCATACACAGGCAAAGAACAAACCAAAACAAACTGTACAAAAGCAAAAAATGAACTACCAACATTGCAGTAAATTCTTGAAACAATAACACTAAGTCCTAACTTCAACCAGAACAAAGAGAATTTTTAAAGAGTTTAAATGCCGATCTCAAGTAAACTTTATTGATATGATGATCACTTTTTTCACGGAGCTAATAAGCAGACTCTGATCTCTGTTAGGAATGCCATTTTTGCGAACGAGATGTCAACTTCGTCATTGCCGGTACCAAGACGGGATTAAAAATGAGAAGTGAGAACCGTGGCGATGTATCGAGTAAAACCAAGCCACCTACCCATTATGGAATTGCTATGGTAGAACGTAATATTGGCTCAATCATCCCCGGACAACCAGAAACCGCCCAGGCTGAGGAGAAACAGATACAGACCACGAAAAGTCGGCGATTAAAACCTCGTTCTCGTCTTCTGGAAACCAGGGGCGTAGCACCGGTGGAACGGCTGCCGAGGATCGACAGAATGACGCCAAAAATACCAGTCAGCAAAGAATCGGAAAGGAGGACACAGAGAGCGCAAAGCGATAACAGCATATCAGATAAAGCTTCATGACAGGGATATCGAGATTGGATGCTCAGGGTCCGAAATTGGAATATCTCTTAATTCAAAGTGAAAGAACAGGAGCTAGTTGATGCTGCTGCAAGGTAACGACTTACGTAGTTGGACACTCAACAAAGCGCAAGGACACTAGAATTTCGAACCTCTATGGAAAAGCCATTACACTCAAGTGTCGACATCATGACGCGCACTCAGGCCGGCGTTGGTGTTCCAATAAAAACCAACTTGGTCGAGAGAATCATTAAATGGAAGCAAGCTAGCGGAGGAATGGCAATCATCCGGCTGAGGCTACAACAGGCCAGAGCGTTGAGCTTGTTACAGACTTATGTGTCCAATCTAAAGGAACAGCACAAGTCCTTTCTTGAGGAAGGTATGCTCTATACGAAGTGCCGACTACGGTATCTCTCATTCTAATGGGAGATTTCAATGCGCATGTAAGAGCAGACACTACGAAATCAACAATGACGGAATGAAGCTGTGGAAAAGGAAACGAACGGACTGTCGGTTAGAAACACCATCTACGAGCATCGAAACGTGTATCTTCATAATTCATATATGGAAGCGCGTGCACGCAAGCCAGTAATCGATTTGATCGCATCATCTGACTTACAATGCTCAGAAATGAATGCTCGCGTTAAGAGAGGTGCAAAGCTGTCAGCCGATCATCATCTTGTTGTTGGCAGGTATTGTAGTCAATGATGGAGTACAACGCGTAAACTTAGAGTCAGAGGCAACCGGAGATTCAACTGGGAAACATCTCCTGCGGATACAAGGACGAAACTTGCAAACATCGCACGATGGTTTGAACAGATTCCCAGTAATGACCGACGATGAGGAAACCGCGTGGAAGCTCCAAAGGAGCAGCTTACTTTAGGCTGCAGCAAAATGTAGTTGTTTAAAACGGGTTTGCCTATCGCCTGGAAGTAAGAAACGAATTTCCACGTGGAAAAATGAGGCTTAGTTGGCTAGCATTAAAAGGGCAGCATTCAAAAGGTGGCTTGGAAGCAAAGACCTATCAACTCGAATGCAGTACGAGATGAGGCAGTGGAGCAAAACAACTATGATCCCCTTCTAAACAGCAGCTGTACAGTCGTTCGCTTAGAAAATGATCAGCCGCTAACCATAGCTCATGAAGACAACACCCATAAGCACTGACTATGGAATATGCTTTTATATTTCGTACACAACTTGTACCTCTCGACGACGCCCTACAGTACCGAATCAGTATAAGTGAAACATTATTTACTCTTCGAAACGAACATCGCAGCCAGTAAAATTCTTGCCAACCTATTTCAGTTGTAAAATTTTTTTTGCATAAAAAAATTTTTAATCACCTGCCCAGGTGACGGTGTAAGCATTGGCTGTTGACGACCTCCCTGCTGGGTGGCTCGAGCCTGCTGTTCAATAATTGCCGCCTGTTCATGCATCCCTAACGAGCGGTAATATTCGGCCCACTGAGCACTATAATCTGGCTGTCCTTAAATGTCGCCGGTTACGATCAAGAAAGAACAAAATTGTTCATAACCTGTCTGGGGATTAATCGCCGGTGCAGGGTTTGCTGGCGGTTGCTGACTGGTAGCCACTGACGCAGTGGTTTGTGTAGAGTATGTCTGTCCATACTAAAACAGAAACGCGTTTAAAACTGTCATTCGGCAGAAAAACACACCGGAACTGGAGCATTTTGTTGATAGTACTGTGCATAATAAGCGGCAGCCCAGGCAGCAGCATTTGGATCCGTAGCGGCATTTGGCGAACCTAAACAAATGGAATAAATGTTAAGTACTTGCCCTGATTATATGAGTACTATAAGAAGAATAAGTGAACCGGGACTGTTCGGCGGTGCCGTCTGGAAATGGCGGAACCGGAGTACCAGCCGTAATCTATGTTCAAACAAGTAAAAACTTTAAATTGGAAGCAGAATCAGTCATACGTCCCCGACCCGAATTCTGATCAGATGGGAGGCATGATGAATCTGCTGAGGAGTGCCTTTTATAATGAAGACCTTTTCGCGGTCATTCGGAGCCGGATCTCTAGAAAGTTCTACTCGAGCACCACTCTCAGAAGCAATCTGCTTTATTGTCTCTCCGCCTAAAATAGCAATTCTGCAATTTAAAATAATCAGTTACGAAAGTAACCTTTGCCGATGACCAAACCGGTTTTATTTGCCGGCACATGCATGTAAAACACGTCACCATCACTGTTCTAGAAGCAGCAACTTAATATAAGAAAAACATTTAACGCTAAAAAATGAAAAATGCACAGAATTTTCAGAAGTTTAAATGATTTGATAAGAATTCTCTGTCGAGAGAGATACCGTTCCATTTTCCATGTCATGATAGCAAGTCAAATAGCTTCTCTGGTTTAGACACGTGCAGTGGTCTGCGGACTTCATGAAGCCTTGCGCTATGCATGATTTTTGTTAGAATCAAGAAAATGTATCGCTGCCACAATGGCCTTAGTTCTTGTAATAGGTAATTTATAAAATCCGCCATGAGCGAGCTCGGTGATTTACATTAATCAAACGGTTCATAAGCCGGTCACGATGTAGATATGCTGCAGGTTAGCCATATTTAAATAATCTTGCTGTATGTTCAATTTTCTTTCTTAAAGATACTTTTTGAGCAGAAAATAACGCCCTAACTATAAAAAACAGTCTGAGTAGGAAGTGACTGAAAATTTCTACTTATCTTTGACGTGTTGCTCAAACACAGCTGTAAAGATGATATGCTATAGTTACACAATGGCAGCCGGTACTTTAATATTTATTTTACAGACGCTATTTCAGCCAAACAACACTGGCCTTAATCACGGCTAAAGAATGAACTGACGCAACACCAGTAGAATGGAACGAGCAAATGCCGATGTTGCTGCAGCAGGTGACCACTTAGTACCAAATGACAGAGATTTCAGACGAATCGACACTACCATAGCCACCCGTTTCTAGAAAATTTAACAGGAACATTTGATCAGCACGCTGTCCACTGTTGCTGATCAAGCAGATAACACTGGCTTTTTCCAGTTTTCGTCATTTCTAACGAAGTGTGTCACAAAACTTAGATATGGCAAACGACACAGAGAGAGATGTGCAACTGGGTCACCTGATATTTGCATATGATGCCAACACATTCACATCTCATGCTGACCCGAAACTTGTAACTGATCAGTTCACAGAGCATGCGATACGAGCGAAACAGAGGGAAAACCAGCCTCATCAAACCGAAGGTTCTGGTGTCATCACGATAAGCCGCTCAAACGTTCTACAGCTAAGCGCAGATGAAGTGAACAAGCTTCGACATGAAACTTACAGATGAAGACAAATATTAACGATTTGACGAATCAGTTAGGCGAATGCAACGCCATGGTGACGACATCGGTCTGCGATAACAAAGAGTTAAAAATAAACTGAACAGGCGCGTAAAGTCTTAAGAACTGTCTAGACCTACCGTAATCTTTTCTGAATATTACCGAAAAGAGCATGATCAATGACAGAAGCACGAAGTCTGACAAAATTCAGCGTACGACGATCGGTAATACCATTGTTTGCGATCCGATACTTCAACAGTGGTTAATCAAGAAATGCGGTTATGGTTAAAAA